CCTCCTCTTTCTCAAAAATAAATAAATAAATCTTTAAAGACTATTCAAATGTTAACCATAGACATAAAAGTCTTAATCCGACTGGTTTTATTTGCCATCTTTTCTGAGTCCTTTTGAAGATGGTGACCTCCTTGTACTGAGACTGTGCATGCACACTCTCCTCTTCATTTGTAGGAGGCATTTGGAGACAGTTCAAGTAATCTTTTATAATTCCTCTGAAGTATAAACCCTGAGATTCTCTTTCTTGGATTTTTTTTCCTGTGAGTGACCTCAGCCCAGAAATTAGGGGGAAAAAATTGCTGGGGGCATGCAAAAAAGACCTCCTTTTCACGTTCAAAACAGAAATTCCTACATTATTTTACGGCCCCAGCTACACTCATTGTGTCGCCTCTTGTTACTAGGGAGTACAGGTACTTTTCAGCTCTAACAAAACCCCTGTGAGACTAGAATAAGCGCTGCTGGAGAGAAAAGGTGGGGTTATTTCAAGCTAGGAGCGAAACCAAACTCATGCTGGATTTCGAGGGATAGCTGAAATCTCTGAATTGAAGCAAAATAATTGTTTCACTTTTTTTTCAATGTTGTTTTTAACATACTGGGGACTGATGGAAGCATAATTGGCTAGGGATTATTTTTAAATGAAAAATAAACAAACTTGAAGAAAGACAGCTATTTGCATTCAGATGCATCCTGCTACTGTGTATTTACCCTTCTGATGTTTGTTTTGCTAATAATTACTACAAAGCATATTTAGAGTAAGATAGTAAGACATTTAAAGCATGATATGTAATTACAGAGAAAAAGAGGTTGCTGACTCATAAAGAATACATGAGTGGATTCCACTGTCTTAATTAAAAACCTAAAGAGTATTCTTGAGTAAGGTTTTAGCTATGGTTATATTTCAATTCAAGCTAAAGAAATGTTGAAATAAATTGGTTCTTGAAAATTCTAAGATCTCAAGGGAATTCGCTGTATTCCAGGTACTTCTCTAGGTGTTTTTACCTACTTTAGCTCACTTAATCTTCACAGTGCCTTATGTGGGGTGGGTGCTGTTCTCACATCCCCACTCAAAAATGTAGAACCTCTCGTGGTTACAGATTACACAAGTAGTCAATAGCAGACCCGGATTACAGCCCAGGCCGTCTGGCTGCAGTCTGGCTTGTAACTTTTACTCTAAAAACTATTTTAAAACTTGAAGGAAACAGGTGACAGTGGATGATTTTATCCCCAAATAGAAGTAATTCTTAAATAGTAGAAGCTGCCATTTATCATGCTTCCGCTTCTATGTCTGGCTGTGGGCAGTATTTTCTATTCATTATTTGACTGAGTCCTCAAAATGCCTGTGAGGAAAGGGATTTCTCGTTTTACAGATGATGCAGCTGGGAAGTAGGGAAGTTAAGTAACTTGCTGAAGATCATTTAGAATTAAGTAGCAGGACTGTTATTGGAACGAGTTCTGTTCACCTCCAGGGACCATCCATGTAACCACTCCATGTTCTGATTCCTTAGTCCCCTGCCCAATCAGCTTGTACCTCCTTCCTAAATGAAATTGTTGCTAATGGAAAGTATTGATCAAGAGAAGAAAACGGAGATGTTTTTATGTTGAGCAAAATTGTACCATTAAAATACATCAAAATATGTTTGGTTGTCTTTTTTTAAAGAGAATCTGTTAAGCACATCTGGTACCATGTTCCAGAGAGATTAATTATAAAGTTATCACAGAGTTGGGGCATTCTGTTATAAACGTGTTTTGTCTGTAGTCGGAAGACCTGTGCAACTAGAATAACTTTGTGCTTAGGACGTTGAAATCCTAGCTTAAGGATTTCATTTTTGTGCAGAGAAAGAGACCCATCACGGCACCTCTTGAGTCAGAATTAGCAATGAAACTCCTCACCTTGTAGGAGAGAGAAATATTGGTTGCCTAATTGAGAAACCAATTTTTTTTAAAGACTTTATTTATTTGAGAGAGAGAGGGAGAGCACAAGCAGGGGAGTGGCAGAGGGAGAGGGAGAAGCAGATTCCTTACCATGCAAGGAGCCCTATGCGGGGTTTGATCCCAGGACCCCAGGATCATGATCCAAACCGAAGACAGACCCTTAACCGACTGAGCCACCCAGGTACCCCGAGAAACCAATTTTTATTTTAAATAAAATACAAAACAAACAAGAATGAGTCAGATTCTTCATGACTGACCTTGTCACTAGAAGACGGGCATACTGTATTCTGGAGAAATGCAAAGGTAAAAACCAAGTAATACTTGAATCTAATTATGGATTTTGGTGTCAATAGACCTGGTGCTATACTTGTTCTACAAATTTGGCATTAACCTCTTTAAATTTCAGTGGCTATAAGAACAGAACCTTCTTCTAGCGATTGTTATGAAATATTGGACATATAAAGATCTAAGCCAGCCTTTGGCGCATAGTATGTTCTTGTAACTTTTATTATTAACTGCTCCCACATTTCTATATGTGCTTAAATTAGGATTTTGCTTACTTCAGTGGTTCTGTTCATCCATTTGATAATGCTTGTTCTAAGAGACTGCTCAGGTGACCCCACTACCCCACCCCTCCAACTTTCTAGTAAATGAAATATCATGTAGAACCCCCCCTAGGGGCTTAGTCACTTTTAATTTTAAGGAATTAGTAGAATCAGTCTATTAATTGGAAATAAAACATTCAGTAAACATTTCTTCTAGAGTCCTTTATTTGAATTGTGTTTGGTAAGGATAAATACTCACGTTTATATTCAAGTTTATATGGGTTCAGCTTAATGAAATATCACGAGTTGCAGTAGGGAAAATGGAAACTGAACATGCTTCTATAATGAAGCTATATAAAATAAGAATAGATGGCTTCCATTTTGCTTCTCTGGGGATGGATTACAGCAGATTCAGGCCTGAAGAAACTTTGAGTCAGAGGTCTTATTTTCCTTTTCTGTCTCCATTCTCTCCTAGCAAATGGTCCTTTTCTTACATTCATAAGATAAACCACTGGCATTGTATTTGGGCATAAGCATACAATAGAACTTTGCTCATACTTAGGTCTTATACCTTTATTTTAATAAAACTTACTTTAAAGGAATGCTGTGCTTTATTAAAACCACAAAAATGTAAAACTGTTGTCAGTGGACAGTTCTGATCACGAAAACGGAAATACTTGAAAAATTCTAAGACTTAATTTTAGCCTTTGATCTCAGTTTGTCTTTTTTTTTCCTTTTAACCACTCATTAAAGCTTTTGGGAAATCTATGATAACTAATTAGGAATTTATTTTAACTCTGAAAAATGCCAATTTTAAGTTATCACTGTAATATGTGACTTTTTTTCTAATAAATATTAAGATAGTCATCCACAAACAACTTTTTTCAGTGGTCACAATACTTACTGGGATAGAGTTGTAGACTCAAAGAATATTCTAATTTAATATTAAACAAGTTCAGAAGATTACATAAGCTAATTTTAACATATGAAGCTGATTTTATGAAGCTGATTTTAGCATGTTGTAATTCCCAAGCATAACTTTAGCACAGTTTTTACAGAGAAGACAGTTTTCAACTAATGTCCTTCTCCAATTATCAGTGATTTTCTTATTTTTTCCCGTAGTTCCATCTCTACACATTTTATGGAATAAGAGCCTCCAATAGTCACTTGATTACTCTTGGAAGAAGATATGTTTTTATTTTGTATTAACAATGATTCATCTCCATTCTCAAATAAGCAAGTTTTCTTCAGTGTTTGGGATAAGTCGTTTTTAGTATAAACTTATTAGCCAGGGAGCACAGATCTCAATGAAATTTTACATGTGTTCATGGAAATGATCTAAGAAGTAGTGAATATGTATTTATGGCATACTAACTGTGTTTGAATTGTTGTGTTGAATTATCATCCTTCAAATGGAGAATAAATTAGTGCCTTTGTAGTTAAGACTATACAGCTTCTTTATATTTTGTTGGGATATTTGGTTTTAAATGTGTTTGCTTTTTTTCTTAAAACTTAACAGAAGTATGATCTGGGTCTTTTAGAAACTCAGGATATATTTATATATAGGTAACAACACATAAACAGTAGGACATCATAAATGCAGAGTATTATAAGGCATTGAAGTGTGTAAGCCAGGGATCATAGCCTCGATAGTACCAGGAAATTGGAGAGTGGGATGTATTTTGAACTCTGGGAATGGAAAAATTAGGTTGAAAATTTTTAAGTACTTGAAATTTAGCTTTAAAGAAAATATAATTAGTCTGTTCTTGGTTCCCTTTAATGCCGTTTTTGTCCCTGACTTAAGGATAAAGCTCTGAATTAAGATCGTAATGGATTCCATTGCATTTTAGAGCATTTCGGCATGCTTAGATTAGCATTGGGTCATTCCTGGTCAAGAAGAGTTGGAATCCGTTCAGCCTACACATTTGACCTGATTAAGCCAGGAAAAGCTTCCTAGAATTGAGTTTGATTCTCCTGGGCCAATCTCGGCTCAAGCCCAAATCCCTGAACTGAGTGTAGTATATATGCTACTTGATTAAACGGTCTGGAGTTTCAAAATATTTTCGTTCTTTAAATTGTAGTTTTACTGTATAGTACAAAGTAAAATTCTTCATGAATACCTGTCCCCATTTGAAGTTGAGTTATTCAATAGCTGCATTTGCCAGAATAGTTCACCTTAATACCATTCTTAGCTTTAAAAATCTCCTTTCTGAACTGTAAATGAAAATTGGTAATGAAAAAAATGGATGTTTATAGATGTTATTAGTAGGAGTTGCTTCTTAGTAGAACTGAAAATCCTTTCTAACATTTTAGTGGTATCATGTGTTTTTATTTTGTTTTGTTTTGTTGTTTTTTAATGTTTCAGGTTTTTATTTAAATTCTAGGTAGTTAACATACAGTGTAATACTAGTTTCAGGAGTAGAATTCAGTGATTTATCACTTAGCTATAACAGTTGCTGAGATGCAGGGCTGAACCATCCTTTAAAGTGCATTACAAAATATTGATACACCTGTTTTTCTCAGAGACCAGCATGCTGATGATGTCAAAGGGGACTTTGAAGAGAGAACAGAAAGTGAAATGAGGACGTCGCATGAAGCCAGAGGTAGCCATAATAATCTCATCTTATTGATGGATATTATTATTAATACTCAACAGTCAGAACTTGACTAGAATATAGCAGCCACTTCTATATTAAAGATAAACTTCGTTTAGTTGGTTTATTCTGTTATCACAGGCTATAAAAGTTTATTGTTTGGGATAAACATATAGTTGACCTTGAGCAACGTGGGTTTGAACTGTGCGGGTCCACTCATACACAGATTTTTTTTTTTTTCAGTAAATACAGTACAGTCCTATAAATGTATTTCCTCTTCTTTATGATTTTCTTAATAGCATTTTCTTTTCTCTAGGTTACTTTAGTGTAAGAATACAGTATTTGATACATATAACATACAAAATAAGTGTTAACTAGTTATTGCTTAAGGCTTCTGGTCAACAATAGGCTATTAGTAGTTATATTTGGGGGGAATCAAAAGTTATACAGATTTTCAAAAAAAGTTCTACACAGATTTTCGACTGTACAGAGGTTGGTTCCCTTAGCCCCTGCATTGTTCAAGGGTCGACTGTAGCATGTAATTCATAATGATATGGATTCATTTGTGACCTATATTTACAGTCTTTTTCACATATCTGTGCAATAGTATATATAAAGTTTGGGCAGCATTCTCTTTGGTTCTTGTGATATATTTTCTTTGGTATCGTTGATGTCATTTGCTTCATATGTTTAAAACTCACCTCAGAATGTGTATTGAAACCCAAATGGAATTAATAGGGCCTTAGTCTAATACCACAGAATGAAAAGCAAATCATTTGAACAAATGTTTTAAGTTGTACTGGAGAAAGTGATTTGTCTTCCATCTCTGCTAAAAACACATTACAGTGGCTTAACAAAGTAATGAAGTCGTAATGCCTGTAAGTCATACTATAGATTGTATTTATAACTTACACATAATAATTTTTTTTTTTATGAGAAAAGGTTAGCCTGATTGGGATTTTAATGATAGTCCTTGGAGACTTTGCTTTTTTGTGTGTATTTCTTGCTTTAGATTATTCTATAAGATTTGAGAACAGCACCTAATGACTGTTTGCCTGCAATGACCTGTTCCATAAGGGAGGCTTTGATTTCCATATCTGATTTTTAGAAAGCAGTAATGTGTGATTATTTTAAAGGTTACATTCTCTGCTGTCTTCAGCATGTTCTGTTGTGTTTAATATAACACCACGTACAAACCCTACAGATGGCCAGGGTTTGAATGCCGTCTCTGCCACCTGCTCGCTGTGTGATTCTGGACATGGCCCTGAACACCTCTCCATGCTTCTGGTTCCTTATCTACCCAGAAGCATAATGATGGTAACTCCCTCCCAGGGTTGCCATGGCGATGAAGTGCTTCTGTCATTTGCTTCAAACAGTGCCTGGCACATAGTAAGTGCTATGCAAGCATTTGATTATTTTAATATGTTTCTGGCCATTTAGAAAGGAAGAAAAACGTGTTTCCTGAGGGTTTTGTCATCAAGGTATATTGGACTCTTAGACAAAGGTCTCAGTCTTTCTTTGTGAATGGTGGTTAGGATCACACCCTTCATTCCTCTTAGGGCTCCACCACTTACTAGTTGCGCAGCTCACCCCGGGCTTCAGTTTCCTCCCGTGTAAGATTACTGTAGTAGTAGGTAGCCACGTCATTGGCTTATCATTAGGATTCAATGCATCAGTGGCTGAAGTATTAGCTGGTGGGAGTAGTAGAGTAGTAGTATTGTGGAGGAAGTGTTTATTGCCTGGAATTGTCTCATCAGTGAAAATTCAGATAGATGCAGAATAGAATCTTCTAGACTTTGAACTTTTTGAGGGAGTAATACTTTGGTAACTTTTCAGTCTCTCCCTAACTTGGTGATTGACAACTTTTTATTGGATTTGCTGAGCTGATTTTGATCATTTTTTCTGGAAATGATCTGGAAAATTATTATTCTCTTAATAGAGAATTTGGCTTGATTAACATATGATATGCATGGTATTCTCTGTTTGTCTTCTCAAACTTTGTATATTTTTGTCCTGTTTTTCTCGATTTGAATTGCCTGAGTTTTTCTGTTTTATTCTCTCCAGAAACATTACTAGGATTCATATATAACTCTTATTGTTCTCACCTACAAAGCCTATAGTTCAATAAGGATATATTATTTACTGTCTTACTTTTTATTACTGAAAAGGAGAGAGCCTCATAAAATAAGTTGCTCTGAGAATTTTTGCACATATGTTCCTAAGTGAGATTTGACTATTAATATCTCATCCATTTTTAGCCTCTTAAAATGAATTTGATGTTTCCTTATCAAAGTTTTGAACCATTTTATATAAAACTTTCATAAAACTAATTTCATCTGCAGTGAAATCATGCTGTGATTGCCAACTGGTCTTTAAATCCAGGAAACTTCTTTCAGTTATAATTTTGGTTACCATTTGTGCTCTGTTCTCTCTGTTGACCGGTAATACCTATTATTCTTGAGTTAGAGCCAAGGGATTATATTTTATTTTCAAAATATTTAACAATTGGTTTGGCATCCAACCTTGCACAAGACAGTTAAAATTAACACTGGTCTTTGTACTGGAGGAGAGTTTTGGATGCTCTCCACTATACCACGAGTTAGCCTTAATTGCTGGATCTTATGAAGTCCAGTTAAGGGCCTGGCTGCCTTGGGGGAGGGTGAAAGTGGGATGGGGGAGGGGGCATTGTACCAACCAGTATGAAAGTATTTTAGTTTTTGTTTTGTTTTTTGAGAGAAAGATCAAGCGAGCAGTGGGAGTGGGGAGTAGAGGGAGAGGGAAAGAGAATCTTTAGGAGTCTTGACACTCAGCACAGAGCCCAGTGTGGGCTCGATCTCATGATCCTGAGATCATGACCTGAGCCAAAATCAAGAGTCGAACGCTTAACCAACTGAGCCACCCAGGTGCCCCAGTATGTTAGTATTTTAACAACTTACATATATTTTTGATGTTCTAGGCATATTTCTCAAGTTGAGATATCTTACCTAGCTTCTTGCTTTGTCAAGTCTACTACTTACTGCCTTTAACATGAATTTTAACAGCAGTGGTTTCTGTTTCCCTCCAATTTCCTACATTGGCTTATTCTCTTTCATAGCCTGCTTTTGTTTTGTAAAGGTTCTATCCCCTTGTGCCTCACTAAAATCATAAAACTCTTCTGTCAGTAAATCAATGCTCCTCTTCTGATGTTTTGTAGAACTTTTTGTCAGAGGCCCACGGTGATTGTTTTCTATTTTAACATTTTTGAGTCCAGAGAATTTTTCCCAGGTCTTTTGTCAAGAACGCTTACCCCTCAATGCTCCCATTTGGGTGCTGGAAGAATTCCTCTTGCAAACCTGAGCCTGGAGGTCAGGGAGTTGTACTCCACTCCGGGTCCACATTCTTGAGCCTAGTAAATCACCAGGGATCATTCCCAATTCTGTCCCTCCAGTGGTGGAAGGAACCCTTCCTAAATCTAGCTGGCTGGAGGGGTGGTGCAAAGGGTAGGAGAGAAAGCCCTTTGCAGTTTGTGTATTATTTAGGATAGAGGAGACTGAAAAGAAGCCACCCTAAGTTTGTTTAAAATGCCAGTAGGATTTAAGACTCAGCAGGCCCACGAGAACTATTTTGTTCGGAGTCATAGAGCAAATTGATATTTAAAAAAAAAAAAACCTTCCTTCTGAAAAAAGCCTCTTCCCCTCCCCCATTTCTTTAGTTAATTCTGGTTAATTCCATGCAATATATGTAATTATGAGCCCCCGTTTTATTATGATTCTCACCATGCAACTGAATTTGACCTTTGGGGAGTTTAACTGGATATAATTTATCACTTTTTCTCCTTTCTTCTTCTTCGTCCCTTTTTTTTTAAAACTTCTTTTTACCTTAAAAAAATAACTCATTCCTATTATTGTAGGAAAGCGCATTAATAAAGTATTCTATAAACTGTCCTTCAAGTTTAAACTCTTGTACTCCTGGGAAAGGTGTAGTTTTGTTTTCTTTCCTGCAAGCCTTCTTTCTCATGGGTGGCTGAAATGCAGAAAGAATTGAATTCTGTTTTGTAATGTGCTAGATTCTCACTTGAAAAGTCAGGCTTGCTTTTTGCCTCCATAGCAATTGGTGGGGTTTTTTTTGTTTTTTTTTTTTGGTTGTTAATCTTGAAATGATCCTCAAGTATCTTTCAGCTTGAGTTAAGTATCGTGGAGCTAATTTTATCTCCATTCCTTGATGCTGTGATCCATTTATCTTACCCAATCACTCTTATTGTTCATCTTTTTATATTTAGTCACCAGTTAGTTAACTCCATTAAAAGAAAAAAAAAATTTTTTTTTTTTGGTTGACAGATGTATTCCTTTTCTTCTGGCCTTGTTCTTTTCACATTAGGAACGTATTTTATAGACTCATGGAATATTAGCCTGAAAGGGTATTTTGACTCCTTTTCATTTTTGCTTTTTATATCCAATACACTCTCAGTGATATGCCTTTCTTTCAAAATAGAAATAATTTCTCTCATTTGCTGAGTCTTTACTATATGTCAGACACTGGGAAAAGCATTTTAAAAATATCATGTGATCCTTACAACAATCTTGTTAACTTGATTTCACCAAGATTACAGAGCTAGTCAGTGGCAGAGCAGGAATATGAATCCATGTTTATCAGACTTTTAAGCTCACCCTCTTGACCATGACCCTCTCCTCTGTATTAGGAGGCAAAAGATCCAGGGTCATTGTCTGATGCTGCCCTTCTCTCATAGAGTGGCTTTGGGCATGTCAGGCTTCTGTTTCCTCACCTTAAGGATAGTTACCTCCTAGCACTGTTTTGAAACTAAAATGAAGCAAGGCCGTTGGAGGTTTTGGTCTCACTTCTGTCTCTGGCTTGAAGGGGTAGGAATGAGTCAGGCAAGAAGTCAGTGGTAACTTATGCTGTTGGCTTGTTGATATAGCATTTCCAGACTTGGAAATAGGAACCGCACTCAAGGTGGGATCTGAGTCTGAAAGCAGCGGAGAGGGAGTACTTCTCCTTTTGTCTAGGACTTG